ACATAGGTAACTGTCTAGAGCTACAATTGTAATTTGTAAATAATACAATATAATACAATTTATTTATTTACTTTTATGTTTTATTAAAGTTCTATTCTGACCCCTATAGTAAGTGTTTTTTTTTTTACATCCATAATATTTGGGGGAGGGGGCACAACTATACAATTCTGCTTAGGGCACCCATTTGGCCAGCAGCGGCCCTGGGTGTAATTACTACATTTTCGTGTCAATCCATATTTACCGCAAACAATGCGCTGTCACTTTAATTCAGCGCATGCAGCGGAAACAATCTCCACACTGCTGCAGACGCACCGCTCCTGGAACGCACTGCCGGGCTGCAACCGTGTGCAGTGTGAACGCTTTATCCGTTAACATGAGCGCGGAAAAAAATACGCACCACATATGCACTGCAAACAGAGTAATGTGGACCTGGCGTTATGTGTGTGCGCTGCGAGTGTGCATGAGCGCACGGTCTCCAGGAAAGCGCGCGAGCACTGAATGGTTTAAACACTGGCAAGAATAAAAAAGAAAAGCAATTTATAAACTTTAGTGACGACGCGACACTGCCTCGATTGTACAGCTGACCATTTCTTTGTCAACTGTGCTGTGTGCAGCTCGCTTAGTGCAGATGCATCATGCGATGTGATTTGAAGCCATTTGCGCATTTTGAGGGAGAAAGAAAGAGCGCGCCCGGTGATTCACTCACGCTGTTTGTGAAATTATGTCTCACAGAAAGTTTTCAAATTATTTTATACGTTTTTTAATGAAGAAATGTGAATTGTACCTCACCTTCAGCATTATAATTATTTAACCCACTCCGGTGTTGTGTAATATTCAGTTCCTGTGAAAACCTGTTCCAGTGGGTGGAGTAAACATTAATATTCATTATTTCCCATATTGTGGCCGTGTCCTTGATACAACGCGCAAACGAATGGAACTGAAAATATTAGTGCACGCTCTTCAAATCGCAACTTGTTTAATGGATTATTTCGAAAAGGTAAAGAAGTTTCAATGTGAAGAATTAACTGCAACAGTGTCAAAACAATAAGTTTGTGTAATATGATAAATCGTCTGAGCTGTTCTGCCTGAATGATTACAGGCACACAGCAGAGCAAACAAGAAGCGAATAACCTGTGCTTAACCATTAACCATGCTAATATAGTTTTTACTCTTTGATGTGCTAAGCTTTTTATTTCATTTGTGAGACAAATTTTCGTTTGAATAGTTTGATTAGTAGCCTACCTAGTTGTCATTGGTGACTAGTACTGCAGTGTGCTTACAACAGTGCTTGAAATAAACCTCTACAAATGGATCTGTGGCCTAATAAAATGTATATAAGTTAGTCTGTTGGAGTATCCTGTGTCATTCTTAATTTCTTGTTTATTTTGTATATAGCCAGTGTTTCTGTTACTATATAAGCTACATACCTACTGAGAAATGTTTTTTTGTAGTTAAAATGCTAATCATTATAACAAACATTGCCGTTTGTAATTGATTAAATAATACAGTGCATAAACCTTTAAAGCACTGCTATGATGGCACCGTCTTCTTGGACATAGGTCAGCAGCTACTCCACGAATATTATTTTATTTTTATTTTAAGAAATCATACGTCATCATCACCAATGTCATAATATGGCTTTGTTTTGCATGAAGTATTCTAATTTGTTGAGATAGTGAATTGGTGGGTTTTTGTTAAATGTGAGCCAAAATCATCACAATTAAAAGAACCAAAGACTTAAACTACTTCAGTCTGTGTGCATTGAATTTATTTAATACACGAGTTTCACAATTTGAGTTGAATTACTGAAATAAATGAACTTTTCCACGACATTCGATCACTGTGTGAACTGGACATACATGGAGGCTGTTTTAATAATTATCTCAGACTCCAGACACTCACTTAATTTTGCATTGCTTTATTCCATATACACTTATTGTTTTGAAAGTTTTCTCGTCTTTTCAATTTGAGTTATATTTATAAAGCAATTACTTCTGTACTTTTAGTAACATTTAATGAATGTAACTAATATTTATATAATCTACAATATAATTTTTATGTTTTTAATTTGCTATAAAGAGTCCAAATAAAAGACTTACTAAAAAAGATAACATTGTATTTGTTAACCTGCATGTCATGTTACTATTAACCGACATCAGAGAACTGTGAACATGAAAGTGTGTTCTTAAAGTACTGAAATATATACTAACTTTAATTATTCTCAGAAGATATTAATCTCAGGAGGAGTTGGGAGAACAGAGTTTGGCTGAAAAAAATTTTTGGGAATCCCTGTCCAACAGTGTTGAAGATCAGAAATGGTTTCATTGTGTGTATGTATATACACACAGTAGTCAACATTTGAAGTGGATCAAAGAAGTTCATCAAAGTTGTCCTAAGACAAGAACACATTTTGGTTTTAAGTTTTAGGACAACTTTGGTGAAAGGTTTTGATCCATTTCAAATGTTGACTAGTGTATACTTGAAAAATGAGAAAAACATGAAGTGGATCAAAAAAGTTTATCAAAGTTGTCCTAAGACAAGAACACATTTTGGTTTTAAGTTTTAGGACAACTTTGGTGAAAGGTTTTGATCCATTTCAAATGTTGACTAGTGTATACTTGAAATATATTTTTCAAGTATGTATATACTTGAAAAATTAGAAAAAACCCTTTTAAGATTTTCAGACGTTAAGCATGATTAACACAACACTGTGGATCATGACATTTTGGATGCTTTCACACACCATTCTTAAACATATGACAAGAAAGTAGGTTGTTTTTCAGTGCAACATATGGTCAAAGAAGACACGTTTTAAAGGGACAGGTCATTCAAAAATCAAATTCATGCTATTCATTTGCTCGTTGTCTCAAGGACACACCCACAATATGATAACGAATGAATATTCATGTTAACTCCACCCACTGGAACAGTTTTTCTCATTCATTCTTCTGTAGAAGACCGTTTGAGAAATAATGACAGAGTTTTCATTTTTGGGTGCACTTATACCTTTAATCTATTAGTGCTTGGAGATTGGTGATTCCCAAACAGGTGAATGTGGAAAGATTTTGATGTTTTTTTAATAAAGAAAAAAAGCTTAAAAAATATTAATAATAAAAAAAGAAATATGTGACATATTTGCACATTAAATGCACATTTACTTGTAAGACATTAATAATTCTACATGATATCCAGTATAATATGAAGAAGAAAAAAAGAACAGGATACTCACACCAGTTTTGCTTATATACATTTTATTAGGCCACAGATCCATTTGTAGAGGTTTATTTCAAGCACTGTTGTAAGCACACTGCAGTACTAGTCACCAATGACAACTAGGTAGGCTACTAATCAAACTATTCAAACAAAAATTAGTCTCACAAATGAAATAAAAAGCTTAGCACATCAAAGAGTAAAAACTATATTAGCATGGTTAATGGTTAAGCACAGGTTATTCGCTTCTTGTTTGCTCTGCTGTGTGCCTGTAATCATTCAGGCAGAACAGCTCAGACGATTTATCATATTACACAAACTTATTGTTTTGACACTGTTGCAGT